AAGTGCGAGGACAGTGTTCTGTCTGCTGTGAAATCTTCCTCAGCCAAGCTGAAATTGAGAGACACAGGGGGTCGATGCAGCATGAAGTTGAACTCAACCAAACAATGGCAAAAGCACTTCTTCAGCACTGCAGGTTTAGTGAAATTCAACACTTGAAGAGAGCTAGAGACTCAACAGACACAGAGGAGACCACTGGCCTTGCAACACCTCTCAAAAGAAACAGGAAGAGCGACGACCATGACAGATTTCCAGCTAAACAGCAGAGCTCGGGGACAAGTGTGACTGTCACCAGTAGCGGGAGCGTAACAGCTTGGTGTTGCGAGTGTGGTCTTCAGTTCTCAGACGAGGCTGGAGCCAGTAAGCACCTTCTGGCTGTGAACCAAATTTTCCATCAGTGTGGCGTGTGTGGCAAACATATGGGGGAGTCTTCCATTGCACGTCTGCATATGAGTCGCTTTCACGGGGGCGCTCATCTCTCCAACTTCCTCTTCTACTGCCGCAAGTGCAAAGTGGAAATGCCTCGGTACGAAGACATCCTGTCACACGTGTCCGGAGCTCACAGCGGACACACGTATTTCAGTGAACAAGAAGTGCCTGAGCAGCTTCCCATAATCGTTGATGTCAAGCCATCCACTAGCAGTGACGTCACATTTCACTCCTCGTCTGTGGCCAAAGTCCAGCTGAGCACAGAGGTGTCTTCATCAAAAGTAGAGCAGTCTTGGATGTGCAGGATGTGCGAGGATGTCTTTGACTCGGAGGCTGCCGTCCGTAAACACTGCAGCGATGTTAGTAGTCACAGCTTTCAGAGATTCGTCTGCGGACACTGTCCACAGAAGTTCTTCAAAGAGTCCACCGTACGGAGACACTGTATGAATGAGCATGATGGGCTTGTAAAAACTTCCTATTTCTGCGGCCTCTGCGACAGCATGGAGTTTGGATCTGAGGAGGAGTTTTTTGAGCACTACAAGAATCTTCACAGTAAGGACTACTACTGCATGGATGAGGTTGAAGTTGTTCAGCCAGATGCCGCTGATGCTGCCGCTGCCGCTGAGAGGACCAGTCAGTTTACATGCCCGTGCATGGGTTCGGAAAAAAGTAAAGAGGACATGAAAGCCACTTACACACAATGCATGAGGAATCTGGCTGCGGAAGAAAAATGCCAGTACATCTGTGTGCCTTGCGATGTATCTGTTCCATCCTATGCACAGATCAAGACTCATGTCCACACAAAACACACAGCCTTGAACCTGGACAGGAGCTTTGACATCAGATGCAAAGACTGCCAAGAGAGTTTTATGGATGTACCGAGTTTCCATAAACACTACCACTTGCAACATTGTACACTGGATCCCTGCATGAGTTCCAGGACCTGCAGGAAAAGCTCAAAAGCCGAACCTACCACTCCAATAATACCTAATGCTGCGGAGATCAAACCAGACAGCAATGGTAAATCTGTTAAACTGATTCACATTTAATGTCTTGTTTTTGGATGTTAATTTGTATTCATGTTCGCAGAGATTGACGACGAAACGCTGACATTTTTGAACATTGATCACACCAATGACGAGAGTGAAGTGCAGGAAGGTAGGCAGTAAACTATACATGTATATCACTGATATACAGATGAGGCCAGAATTATTAGTCCCCCTATGAATTTTTTTTTTTTTTT